GGTTCCAGAGGAAAGCCAGGAGAAACTCCCCATGGGTTTAGAGACAGAGCTCTCATCTTTGACATGTTACTTTTTCCTTGTCTCAGGCTTCCTTGGAAAACCACCAACCTATAACTAACTTTCTGGGAGTAAAGCTTCAGGTAGAAGAAAATTGGATCAAACTTGGAAAACATAAGTGGTCTCTTAAATTGTCAGTACACAAAGATACAAAACAATCTAGTATGGGGCATGCAAACCTGCTCCTGGAGTGGTTTTCCATTTGCAGTAGAGGCCTCGACAGTCCTTCACCAGCTTCTCCTGTGGCTGTGCCATTCTTTACCCCACCCCTGGTTGGCATCAATGGAGACATAGCCACTTGACCTTCAGACCATTGTTGGCCCTCCCTGGGCCATTTTCCTTAGTGTTCTTTTGGATCAAGACATTTCCATGTTATATCTAAATATTTATTCTTGAGTTTTAAACCCACTGGCTACTTCCTGCTTCTCTCTCAAGCCTTGGCTCATATGCTGCTCCCTCCGAGTGATCTTCCTTGACCTTCTTGACTAGGTTGGTTCAAGGTTAATCGAGCTATGTGCTCTCCCCACATCATCCAGTACATCCCCTATTGTAACATGTATTCACTTATTCATTCAACGAGTATTTCCTGCACTGAGTCCCTGCAATGTACCAGGTACTGTTCTAGTATCGGGACTGTAGTGGGAATAAAATTAAGTCTCTACCCTTGTGGGGATAGATTCTAGTGCAAGGACAATAGACAATACCAATGTCTATATTTTAATATCTAGTAGTAAGTGCTATGGAGGGAAAATGGCAAGATCAAGACACAGATGCTGGGGTGATGCTGATTGAGATGGGCTAATCAGGGAAGGCTTCTCAAGGAGATGGCATTTGAACTGAGGCTTAAATGAAGTAAGGGGTGAGCCTCATCAAGACTTAGGAGACGTGTCCCAGGTCACGGAGACAGCAAATGTCCCCCTTGGGGTGGTGGGGAGGTTCTTCACTAAATTCACACAGGGGTTGGTAGTACCTGGCATGCGATAGGGGCTTAAACGTGTGGAACAGATGGATGAAGATAATTTACAAATCTTGCCCTATACACAAACGTTTGCCTGTGTACCCCTTTTATCTGGAAGATCCTCTTTTCTTTGTTGCCTACCTAGATGCCCCCAGTCTGTCTACTCCATTAAACTTTGCATGCTTGGAGCCCCTGGTCTCAGCACACTCAGTCGCACAAGCCGGCCTGCAGCAGCTATACAGCACCACAGGAGTCCCCTGCAGAGCTGCGACTTCGAGTGGGTATGGTGACGGAACTCAGGTCCCTCAAGGGATGAGCACTCCAACTTTGAAACCACAAGCAGCCTGTAAGTGTGGACGAAGAGGCAGCTGCATGTTATAAAACAGTATTACTCATACTTTCGGATCCAGCTTCTTTCAGTCCTATGGGTAGGAAGGAGGGGCAATTTGCTGAAGCCCACTGCCCTTCCAGTACTCACAAGCCAAGGGCCCTGTGGGGTCTGTTTCACAGGACCCATGCTCATGGCAGCTGAGCACATCTGTCCTATATGTCTGCCAGCAGTCACGACCTTCTCCTGTGAT